TTATTCGTTTCCGACTTATAGCAAACCTTGTAAATCTTTATGTCACGATGAACGAAGGGCACCAGGTTAAACGTAAATACTACTACGTAGTATTACATAGTATACACGATCTCGTCCTCAACATGCATTCGCCCACACTCCTTCCCTAAGTCTGCTGCTAAGGCCCTGCCGTCAAGCTGAACACAATCTCGGTTCTTATTTGTCGGGAGTTCAATGTTCAGGAACTGTTATCGTTCAGTTGTTGCCAGCAAATTTCAGTAGTTATAAAACAGTACTTCATTTCAGCTTCATATTAATAGTATTCTGCATATGATGTTAAAATAGCGCAAGCTAAGAACTGTTTTTTTTTTCTAAATGCAACGGCACTTCTTCAACTCGGTTTTATATTTTTGCCGCCGAGCGTTCGTTTCCCACTACTACAAGCTCATTTCTCTGTTTCCTCCCACCAGCTCGTTAGTTCCACGAGGCACACAATACACCGGTCGAATGCTCCGCTCACGGACACGAAAAGTTCGTACTTTTGGGTCGGCTCCATTCGTGGTGAATGATTCAGAACTGGATATGGCCAGGTCGCTTGGCTTGTTGCGACAAGATGTACCAATTCAAGTGACAGACTCGAGCAAGAACAACTACGGTGTGGCGTACCAGCGACGAGAGAACATCGGAATCGAGACTCACGGATCCCAGAAGGCTATTCAAGAACGCTGCAAAGAACTTGCTCAATCGTCCGGCTTTCAATTGTTTGTCGACAGCTTTAGTAGCTAGGCAAACAATAGTGGAAATACAAAGTATGTTTGCAAAAAACTGAATGGTCAACAATTTTTCGACAAGAACACCTCGTGTGATGATAGTGAGTGCCCGTTTGCTATCAATGTCAACGGAGTTGACGGAAGCTGGAAGGTGACTTGCTTTAATTTTGCTCACAACCACGTCATGCGTGTGGGATTCACAGAACAACCTCTTGCCGAGGGTACTATCGCTCGTTCAAAGTTTGCCAAGAGAAATACAACGCAAGATCTAGCGACGCTGGTACACTTGATCGAAGCAGAAATGCTGCCAAGGTATGACGGAAAGACCGACAAGAAGACAGGCGCAGTAATTTCCAGATTTCTCGTGGGTAAAGGCAAAAACATCAGTCCGAGTGTTATTTCGCGGATCGAGAGTTCGATTGATGAGCGATTGGGTGGTAATATGACTGACAGCTATCAGAAACTTGAGTCTTACCTGAGATTAGTTGCTGAGAAAACCCGGGCTCAATAATGAAGTTCGAGAAATCCGGAAACGGAACGTTTATTCGAGCGTATTTTTTTCCAAACATCGAAATCCAAGTCGCCAAAAGAAGTCGTCGATTGTACGGCTCTGACGGGACCCATCTCAAAGGAGAGATGAACCAGCGAGGGGTTTTTCTCGTGGCAACTTCAAAAGACTTTAACAGTTCGATACTTCCTTTCGCTTTTTCTCTCGTTCCTGTTGAGAACAACGACCACTGGATTTGGTTTCTATACGTCGTGAAAGAGGCATTGGGCGACATAGAAACTTTTACAGCTCTCTCCGACGGAGATAAAGGTCTTCAGGCGGTAGTAAACACAGCTTTTCCGCGCGCTGGACATCGATTCTGCCTTCGCCATATAAAAGGAAACATCACCAGCAAGGAAAAAAAATCATTAACGAACAGAGAGTGCGTGATAATCTCGAAAATGGCCAATTGCGACTGTGAAAATGACTGCAAGGTATTCGAATCGGAACTCAAAATCACAAAACCAACAGCAGCAACATACTTGTCGGGGATTTCGAAACAGCACTTGGTGAAATATGTGTATCAAGATCATTTCAAGTTGCCGACTTACGGAGAGACCACATCAAATTTAGCAGAACAATCCAACAACTGGATCGGGAACGAATGTCGAAGCGCCAAGCCTCTCGATGCTTTTGGGTTGTACTTTCGAAAATTGAGTGAACTTTTGTCATCAAAGAGGCAACTGGCTGCTGCTTGGTTGGACAAGAGCCCATCCACTACGTTGGTGTCGAAGCTCGCAAAAAAGAAAGAAGATCTCATCAAGGCTGCTGGATCATGCCAAATTACTCCGTGTTTAGCCGGTGCGTACGACGTACTATATCTCGGTCCTACAGCAAAAACTGGATACATACACCCTTGGCGTTTAGTGGATCTACCTGGAGCGGAATGTACATATGGAAATTGGCAGGACACAGACTTCCCATGCGTCCACGCAGTAGCAGCAGCAGCTATAAAGGACGAATGAGACTTGGATACTCTGTACAACGCTGAGAAAATGTCCATCGGGTACTTCAAGAAAACGTACAACGTTTCCTTTAAGCCGTGGCCAACTAACGTCATTTTGGAGAAAGATACGGGACTCTTAGTTCCGGCGACACAAGAGAACCCACGCGAGAACGGCAAACGTGGGCTAAAACCTGGCCCAAAGCCAAAGCACAAGAAAAAGAAAGGAGCCGAAAAAGGGTGAAGCGTTCAGGTAGTTACATTAAAGACACCATCAATACACAGTTTTTTACGCAGTAGTATTTTTTCTTGTCATGCCGATACTGCACAAGTAATGACATTTTTTTATTTGTAGATATTTTATTCTAATGTCATTTTAAGCTAATGGACCCTTCGCGGTGGTCAAGTTGTCTCTAAACCAAGCCCACGTGGGTTCCTTCATGACCTCGTCGTCCAAATCGTCATCTTTAGAGTCGTCACAGTAAAAATCCCACATTCCCACCTTGTCTAATTCTTTTTTTTTTTTTAATGGAATTGACCTTGCTGTAGTATCGGTTTGCTTCTTTTCGCTTTGCCTTTTGACGAGCTACGGCCTGGGGACCGCATCCGCGTAGATGATTTAAATGGTTCTTTAGCTTAGTCGGCGAGCTGAAGGTGACCTTGCAGGATGGGCAGGTTCGGGGCAGGCGCTTTTTGGGTCGGCCCAGTTTCTTCTTCGACGGGTTACGGAGTACAGGGGGCCATGGCGTGGATAAAATAGAAGTAAGAAAGTAGTTCTGCAAGAGCATGAAGCTCCACTAAGCGCATTTGGTGGTTGAGCGTCGCTGTGTATTACTATTTTGTTACTACCCATGAGTAACACTACTAACGCTTGGGACAACTACGGATCAGTACTTTACACGCACCAAATCAAATCACCAGATCTCAGTACTAACTACTGACTTATCGAAATTGCTCGCAGTTTACACCTCGGACAGCTGGATCTTCGCTGCGGTTGCGACAGGAAAGGCGGCGACTTCCACGATCTCGATGAGCATAAAA